TTCTCAAACATACAATGAGGATGTACTTGTTTGTGATAAAAAAGGAGGAGAATTTACTGAACTTAATTGTTTGGGCTGGGGAAATTCTTGGATAGTCAACAAAGTGGGCCTGCATCGTGTTCACAGAATTGTTCAACATGATTTATAATTTGCAGAAGTTAAATATATATGAGACAGTTTTAAACCTTGTGATGACAAACATTCTTTATATTTGATCCAAAGGTATTAATATAATATTCTATTGGTGTAGTGATGACTCCTTATCAAACTTAATTTCCTATGGCACCACTACAATATTAAAGTAAGACGACATACTGTATAAAGCTTACTATGCTCTCTCTATGCTATACTATATGTTTTGTTATTCTAGAATAGGACATGTTTTAAGGCTGTTTTTTCAAATGGGACAATTGACATTAATCAACATGTGTACTTCAGTCCAACATGTAGATGTGCCAGATTAAGTCATCGAGGTGACTTTTACAGTCCCTGGCAGGTTGATTGTAAGATTTAAAGAAAGCATACAACATATAGTCTTAGAAACACAGAAGTTACATAGACAGACACTAAACACACATAAATGAACGTCAAATGAAAACACAGACACAATCTCATATCATGTGGAGTGCACAAAGTCCAAATGAATTCATAATACAATATAAAAACACAGGCTGCAGTTATAGATCAGATTTTTGTGGCTCTGGGCTGATAATGAATTGAATCTAAACCACTTTAATTGTGGATTTGCAGGATGCAAAGTCTACATACGTAATAGCTTCCTACCCTTTTGGTCTGTGACCCCCCCCCTCACTCCCCTTTAAAGGGACTATATGTACATATTGCTCCACAGCCAATGTTACCATTAACAGGTGTTTACTTACCAAACTAGATCAAACGTTCCGACTTCAGCATCAAACTTCATTCTGTTTACTCCCTCAGCTGTCCTCAGCAGTGGAAAACAACCCCAATGATAACTATCGTTTTGCTGAAGTCAGCACGCTAACCAGACAGCCCGATCCTGGCCATCCCGTCTCGTCACAGAAGCATCGACTGTGCCCTGTAAACGTAGCGCTGCTCAGACGCTGTATTATAATGACCTGTCTTGTAAACGAACCAACACAAGATTAAAAAAAAAACATAAATCAGCTGAGAAAGCTTACAGATACAACCTATCAACAGAGCTATGGTTCAATATGTCCAAGTGTTTGACCAATATGTGACACATACATATGGATCTCAGTGCAGAGTAATAGACTGAGATGAGAAACAAAGAAAGCACACAGTATTTATTCTTTCAGTCACGCCTCAGCTATCCACCTAGCCCCGTCCTTGGGTGCACAGATAACAGTTTAACAAATTATTGAAGGTCAGCTGATCCCTTGCAAGAGATGCTGAATTTCTGCAAAACAGGATATGGCCTTCCCTCTATGGACTCGGTGTCTCGACTTATTCCATACAACGCATGTTACAAACATGTTACTGATGCCCCAGGCAACAGGCGTGGATGCTAACAGCAGTTCACTCATGAAAATAACACTCATATGACTTCCAGGGTTAGAGGTGCTGTGTGTATGTTTTTGCTGTACCTACTGAAATGTTAGTTTGATACTAATTTGCATCAAACTTCCTTCCTGGACTTGCCAAGAGCTTGTCTCTGGAAAACACTAATGTTCATTCTTGTTTTGCTTCTGTTTTACTCACACTGCTTCCACCAAGGTTAGCGTGCTAACTAGCTAGCCCAGGCCCGGCTGAGCTTTGTCAGGTTAAGGTTTCGGGTTAAGGTTAGCGTCACTGTAGCGTCCAGAGGAAGCGCTACATATTATGACCTCTTGTTTTTTAAAGGCAATGATGGCCGAGGCTCTTGGCCGCCGACCACCACCACCACTCTGGCTATTAAATACATTTGGCAACAGAGAAAACTGAAAGATTGCACCTTTTAAGAGAAGTAAATGAGTAAATGTACTGAGTAACTTTCAACCACTAAGAGGTGGAGGAAGTATTCAGAATGGAGAAAAGCAAAAATACTGCAGGATAAAAAGAAATCATCATTACAAGTCCATTCAGTTTTTCCTGATCGATCTCCTTTAACATTAAAATGCTTTTATTTATAGTCAGTGGTGCAAAGTAACCAAGAATAGTTATACAACTACTTAAATACAAATTTGAACATCTTGTTGCTTCTTTATAATCCTTCTCCACTAGTACATTTTACTCCTCTGCATGTATTTCATTACCCAAGTAAGTAGTTACTCATAGTACAAAACATTCTCAACAAACAGATTATAACAGGTGTACATAAGTCTCAATTAATCCCCATGGGAGAATTTGTAATATACTCCACAGTATATTAAGACGTATATTAAAATGACTTCTAACTTTTTTACAATCTATAAGAAAATTTACACATTACTGCAGTGTAGCGTTCTGCATAAAGGTTACTTTTACTTTTGATACTAAGGTGAATTTGTATTTTTATTTATAACTTGTTGTGTGTTTACCTTTGAGTTCCTCATCAATAATAATCACAAAATATAATATGTATAATAACACACAGTGATGTAATGTCCAGTAGCTAGTAGTACATTTACTCAAGTACTGATGTGTTTATATTCATACTTTATGCTACGTATGCACTTTTATACTTCTAGGATCTGAGGACATCTATCATATAGACATTAAAAATTCTAATGCAGAACTTTTTATTTTATTAGAATACTTTATGTGAAATATCAGAAAACTTTTTTCCACCTCTGCTCAGGATTAGAATGATGGTTGCCAGTTTATTTTGTGTAATATCCAGTGAGATAGGAAAAGCCCCAGAGCAAACACACTCACCCTCAATAAACACACTCTGTATACTTTAAGGATTTGAGGAAAACTATGAATGATGATTATCAGACTTATCAGGGTAAAAGCTAATGCGCACCCACCCACACTTAACACACTGTAAATGGGGTCTAAGTTTGGGTCAGGGCCTAGTAGTTGTATAAAGTTTAATATTAAGTATATCCTGTTTTTACTTATCCATATACTTTTGTTTATACTCATATTTATACTTCTTATATGCCTGTGTACTTCTAGGATCTGAGGGAAGCCATCCTAAAGACCAACATTTAGAAAACAGAACTTTTTATGTTTTATTGTTTATTGATTAAAATGATTGACATTTATTTAAGGGGAATAACCACAGACATAGGTAAAGCATAGTGCGTACGCACACACACACACACACACACACACACACACACACACACACACACACACACACACACACACACACTAAACACACTCACACTAAACACACTCACACTAAACACACTGTAAATAGGTTGCCAGTTTGGGTCAGGGCCTAGTAGTAGTATAAATATAACTATATTATATTTATAATCCTTATATACTTGTATACTTTTAGTGTCTGAGGAAAACCATCCTAAAGACATAACAGTACCACACACACACACACACACACACACACACACACACACACACACACACACACACTGTAAATGGGTTGCCAGTTTGGGTCAGGGCCTCCTCTCTGACTGAGAAGAAGAAGAAGGTTTCCACCATTACTGTTAATCAGTCTGATGACTCCTCTGCCTCCATTTATAAAATACTTGATGCTGGTGGTTAATTTCAGAATTGAACGGAGGTGTGTGTGTGTGTGTGTATGTGTGTGTGTGTGTTCCTCCTCCTCTTCCTCCTCTTCCTCCTCCTCCTCCACGGTCCGCGGCTACTTCCTGGTGCCACAGCGAGAGGCAGTGCTGAGTTAAAGCGACAGAAACACCGATAGAACAAAAAATACGGAGCGAGAGAAGCGAGGGGCCGGAGACGCGACGGGAGCAGTTGACCGGATTCCCAGAAACCGAAGAACCCTGTCTCGTCCCTCGTCGTGTGTCCGCATGTTTTACCGGGGGGCCGTTTCGCCGCTGAACCGAGTGTCGTCCTTTCCCCGGCGGTGAGCAGACTAGCAGGCGGTGTGGATGACGGTTGGCTGCGGCTGAAGCGGAATTGTAACGGGGGAACGTCTTCCTCCCTCCGACGGAGAAGCCTCGCAGAGATTTTCCTTCCCCCCCTTTTTTTTATATACACAGTCTTATACACATATACCTCTGCCAGTCTGACTTGACAGGTTCACTACTTGACTCTTTACTGCGCTTAT